CACCCGCCTCGGCCTCCCAAAGCGCTGGGATTACAGGCTTGAGCCACCGCGCCGGGCCCGGTTCCACGGTTTTTATCCTGCTCAGGCACAAGCGGCAGGTCCAGCACATTCGTGGGACCAACCTCTCCCCCAGAGCCTCCCCTGAGTCCAGAGTCACCCAGAGTATCCTGGTCCTGGTCAGCACCTTTGTGTTGTTTTACTCACTCTCCTCCATCTTTATATTACACATGTCTCTTTTTCCTAATCCCAGTTGGTGGCTGGTGAACACCTCTGCACTGATCACTGCCTGTTTTCCCACAGTCAGCCTCTTTGTGATCATGAGCCGCGATCCCAGGATACCCAGGCTGGACTCTGCCTGCTGTGGGAGGAATACAGTCTCCTAAGCTGGACAGGTAGTTCTCCGATCTATGTGGATTGTCTTCTTTCTGTACAATGAGTGACCATTTATTGATTTCTTCCTGCAGAAGATTAAGAACCACATTCAGCAGTCAATTGCAAAGTGTGTATAAGACCCAGAATCTCTCTTTGCCCTTAAAGGATTTTTCATATATCATAAACAACACTTACTGATGAAATGTTTTGCAAAAAGTTTTCATATTCATTTTGTTAATGTAGCAATGGAGAAGTTTAGAGGCAAATTAAGCATTAAAAGTGGATCTCTGGCAATTTGGAACAATGGCAGCTTTAAACCAATTAATAAAAAATGTCATGGAATTAACTGGGCACAGAAGAGTAAGATAAGTTTAATGAAATAAAGAAGCTTAAGTGATGATCAATGAAGGTGAAAAGAAAGTCATAGTTCATACCCTTTTTTGTTTGGAATTAATCTTTATTTTTTCCCATTTTCAAGTTGTAGAATTTTCTTTTTGTCCTTGATAATTATACTTTATTTTAATGAAACTAGTCTTTGGTTATTTAAAAAAAAATTCTGTCCTTCTATGATGTTTCTGATTTGTAGATCCTATGTTCATGCTTCTTATATTTTTAAGAATATTTCCTCTCTTTAGTTTTGCACAGCATTCTCTCCTACTTCACCTGAACATCCAGCCTTTTAATCCAGAGTAATTGTATCCAATCTGGTATTTATCCCACATATTCTGTTGTTTATATGTTTTTGTTTGAGTTTAAAATGTTTGCGATTTATATGATTCTACTGTTGTTTCTTCTGTTTTTGAATAAAATCTATATGGATACTTTTCGAAAAGGTAAGAAGGAAAAACAGCGGTTCTACCACCAGTAGAATCTGGGATGGAGCTGGAGGGAAAATAATGTATCAGGCCCCTCAGGAAGTTAAAGACCAGGTTTTGTCATTTGACTTTAAATTCTTTTTTTCTTTAATGAATGCAAGCTTTTCTTTTATTGCAATACCAAAAGGTCATACTTCTAAAAGCAGCTACAAGTAATATTTTTCTGTGAAAATGTGTGACTTGGTGCCACAGCTGAACTTTCTCTAATAGCAGCGGTATCGTCAGTCCCTAGCAGAAAAGAAATGTTAATTTTTGGCATCCCATGCGCTCTTATTGAAGCAACTTCATAAAGCACGCAGATAACTATTCTGCTGAAGTTTCAAACAAATCCAAATGATCATTGTACTTGAAGATTTGTACCTTGCAAAATATACAGAAATGATGGCAAATTCACAAATAATAGCAGGTCCTTGATTTCCAATAAAATCATAAGGCAGAGGGTTGACAGTGAAAAGAAAAATGTTTAGAATGGAAAAAAAATTACAAAATGGTATTAGCATTCACAAAAAAGATCATGCAGAGATCAAATCCATATTGATTAAACATTGAAAATTCAGCTACAATCCAAAGAACTCTGTCCATGAGTCTAAAGGCATGCATGCCAGCTGATGGAAATGCAGGATTCCTCTGACAACATCTTCTCCAGAGCTGAACAGTAATGTCTCACTGGAATAATCATGAAAGGGTCAACGAGCTGCCATCACACTTCTTTTTTGTAATTCAAAATAAAAGAAACACAGTCACAGCATCAGAGGCGTTGGAACCAGACCGACCCCATCTTGCATGAGGGCTAGGAAAATGAGGCTGGACTTGCTGGACTGCATTCCTGCAAAGTTAGAAATTCCTAGTCTCTGGATGTTTATGGTTAAGGGAACAAATTAATAATGTTTCCTAAACAGACTCAGTCTTGGGTGTGTCCAGATATCCCGATATCTGGAGAACAAAGGCATTTATAATTTTGCTTTAAAGGTAATAATATTGATTCTTGCAAAATACAGTAATTAAGGAAATTAATCCTGTATCACAAACCCTCGTAGCAAAGCACATCTCCCCAAGATCTTTTTTATCCTCCATATATACAGGCATGGTACCGAGGTGGGCGCCTTCCTCCTCTTACTCTCGGGAACACCCTGACTGGCCTATGAGGTAGCTGTCCTACCACGGTGCTTTCTTAATAAACTTGCTTTTGCTTCACACTGTAGACTCGCCCTGAATTCTTTCTTGTGTGAGATCTAAGAACCTTCGCTAGGGTCTTAGGACAAAAGAAATTACAGAAGAGTGGACAGAGAAAATACAGAAATTCACAATAACAGCTGGTTATGGTGGGTCACGCCTGTAATACCAGTCCTTTGGGAGGCCAAGGCGAGCAGATCATTTGAGGTCAGGAGTTCAAGACCAGCCTGGCTAACATGGGGAAACCCTGTCTCTACTAAAAATAAAAAAATTAGCCAGCCATGGTGGCGTGAACCTGTAATCCCAGCTACTCGGGAGGCTGAGGCAGGAGTCACTTGAACCTGGTAGGCAGAGGTTGCAGTGAGCCAAGATTGTGCCACCGCACTCCAGCCTGGGTGACAGAAGGATACTTCATCTCAAAAAAAAAAAAAAGGGGGGGGTGGAATTCACAATGACCTAGAGGAAGGAGCAGGGCTATCCTGCCGTCGTGTGCTCGAGCTGTGTCTACATCTGCACATTGGCAGTATTCAGCCTCCACAGCCTCCCCTAGGCAGCATTTGGTTCTGAATGGAGCTAACAGAATTCATGCCATTCAAAGATCTCCTGAGCTGTGTGCACAGATTGTTGGCACTCCCACCCTGCTTTACATAACCCACCCTCAGCTTTTAGGCTGAAGCTGTTCTGCAATACAGAAACACAACCAGAATCCACTCATACTTACAGTCCAAGGTATAGATGAGTACCAGGGAAGTTTCCAAAGCTCAACTCAGGAAGTTCCACAGAATACTCTCCTCGATATGGTGAATATCCACTGATACCAAGATGAAATTTTATTTTTCACTGTGTTTTTGTTTCTGGAAGTCAAGTATCTTACACAGTCTAAAAAGAAAATTCAGGCCGGGTGCGATGGGTGACTCATGCCTGTAATCCCAGCACTTTGGGAGGTCGAGGCAGGCAGATCATCTGAGGTCAGCAGTTCGAGACCAGCCTGGCCAACATGGCGAAACCCCCTCTACTAAAAATACAAAAATTAGCTGGGTGTGGTGGCAGGCACCTGTCATCTCAGCTACTCAGAAGGCTGAGGCAGGAGAATCTCTCGAACCTGGGAAGCGGAGGTTGCAGCGAACCAAGATCATGCCACTGCACTCCAGCCTGCGTGACAGAGCAAGACTCTGTCTCAAAAAAAAAAAAGAAAAAGAAAATTCCGATTGTTTCCTTTCTTTGCTTCAGGTTCTAAAGAGACACTCTCTTTTCTGAACCACCAGGAAGGTATAAAAATTGTCTCAACCCATAACCGGTAGTCACTCCTCATCAATGGAGTCACACATGCAGCTACTTCTGGGTTGAGAACCTTCCATGTTGTGCAAACAGATGACTCTGCAGACTCACTGTCAGGAGTTATTGTTTGCAGATTTCTTCTCATTTGGGCTCGAGGCTTAACTCAAAATTTCACACACTGAAAACTG